ACAATTATAATTCATGAATGAATGTTTTCAGCTATTACAAGTAATATTTCATTCATATTTTCCCAACCTTGAGAAATTTGACAGTTAAAATAGGGATAGAGTTCCACCTTTTTAAAACCCAACATAAATAAAGTGGATACATAAAATGTCAGATCTCACATGATTATAACCTTATAAAGGTATTTTATATATCATATTAAGATATTTAACATAAAATACTGTCAAGTGAAAATTTAATATATAGTCCTCTACCTGCTGAATTTCTTAAATTGACTTGTCCATCTTTCGATTTTTGGAACTGTCCACTGTCATAATTTGGGAAATGAATATGAAATTTTAGGTTGGTATAAGGCTAGCCATCACTTTGGTGCATGGTAGAAAGCACATTGTCCCAACACTGGTGCATGGTCGAAAACGCATTGTCCCATCACTTTAGTGCATGGTCGAAAGCGCATTGTCCCAACACTGGTGCATGGTCAAAAGGGCATTGTCCCTTTACTTTGGTGCATGGTTGAAAGCGCATTGTCCCAACACTTTGGTGCATGGTCGTAAGGGCATTGTCCCAACACTTTGGTGCATGGTCAAAAGCGCATTATCCCATCACTTTGGTGCATGGTCGAAAGGGCATTGTCCAAACACTTTGGTGCATGGTCAAAAGCGCATTGTCCCATTACTTTGGTGCGTGGTTGAAAGGGCATTGTCCCAACACTTTGGTGCATGGTCGAAAGCGCATTGTCCCATCACTTTGGTGCATGGTCGAAAGGGCATTGTCCCAACACTTTGGTGCATGGTCGAAAGGGCATTGTCCCAACACTTTGGTGCATGTCAAAAGTGCATTTTCCCAACACTTTGGTGCATGGTCGAAAACACATTGTCCCATCACTTTGGTGCATGGTCGAAAGGGTATTGTCCCATTACTTTGGTACATGGTCGAAAACACATTGTCCCACTACTTTGGTGCATGGTCGAAAGTGCATTTTCCCAACACTTTGGTGCATGGTCGAAAACACATTGTCCCATCACTTTGGTGCATGGTCGAAAGGGCATTGTCCCATTACTTTGGTACATGGTCGAAAACACATTGTCCCACTACTTTGGTGCATGGTCGAAAAGGGCATTGTCCCATTACTTTGGTGCATGGTCGAAAACACATTGTCCCACTACTTTGGTGCATGGTCGAAAACGCATTGTCCCATTACCTTGGTGCATGGTGGAAAGGGCATTGTCCCAACACTTTGGTGCGTTGTCGAAAGGGCATTGTCCCAACACTTTGGTGCATGGTTGAAAGCGCATTGTCCCATCACTTTGGTGCATGGTCGAAAGCACATTGTCCCATCACTTTGGTGCATGGTCGAAAGCACATTGTCCTATTACTTTGAAGCATGGTTGAAAGCGCATTGTCCCATTACTTTGGTGCATGGTTGAAAGTGCATTGTCCCATTACTTTGGTGCAAAGTTGAAAGCGCATTGTCCTGCATGGTTGAAAGCGCATTGTCCCATTACATTGGTGCAAAGTTGAAAGCTCATTGTCCCATTACTTTGGTGCATGGTCGAAAGAGCATTGTCTCAACTCTTTGGAACAACATTAGAATGTTATTCATGGTAAGGTTGCTGTGATTTTAGGTGCAGAATGACTGAATTCTTGTTTTTTGTTTTATTTTAAAAAAAAGCTTTTTAACTAAAATATCTGGAAAACAGGGGATTCCCCAAGTGTAATGAAAACAAACAAAAAAAGGTGAACATTGCAGACTTGTTTTATTCTGAGAGATGATTAATAGTGCAACTCCTTTCATACACCTCAGCACTTGCATATAAATCATAGAATCAATGAACCCAATGAACTAGGAAAATAATTTTTTTTTACATAGTAACAATAATAATTATGTTAACAAGGCTTTTTAAAGTCTTTCAGTGAATTTCAACTTTTGTTGAAGCTCGAAACTAAATAGCTGTTTTAGTGAACAGTATCTTACTTTTTGTTTTCTTGTAATCTAAGATATCCTGAAAATGATAAGAAGAACAACATGATAATATGGTGAACACCTGAACGTGTTAGGCAAACAAACCCAAACTAAAATCTAGCAAATAAGTGTAAAATCCAGTAAAGAGGTGTAAACTATAACAAATAGGTGTATATATTGCAAATAGGTGTAAATTAGTGTAAAAATATCAAATACATAAATATTGTAAAATAAATGATGACAAAATTGATAGAGATGATATAATGTTATAATTCTTAGCAGAGAAAAAATGAGTTGATATTTATTGATAATCTGGAGGTGTGCTTCATTAAAGCTAAAGATAATCTTTTTAAAAATTCAAACAATTATTTTTGCAGCAGATATATCATGGCTTTTTTGTACTTTAAATGAACTGTATTGATAAGATATTGTAGTGTCATGTAATTCAGGGGTGTTGACTTCACCACTTGCCCCTTTCCACTGTGATTCCAATCCCAATAGGGACATTGGATTCTTTCATGTGAGGAAACTTTCCAGATAGCTTATTGAATGTCGGTGGTTCCATTTTAGTGTTCATTAGTGCTTAAAAAATGCATGGAAGGGCACCTGAGGTCTTCCTCTGCCAGTAAAGCTGGAAAATTGCCATAAGACCTATGCTGTGCTGATGCGACATAAAACCCAAACAAACAAAAAAAGAAAAAAGGCTTGTTACTATCTACCAGAAATACCTTATATCAGAAGTCATTACTGACTAAATTTATACAAAAGATTGGTACATGTATTATCATCAGTTGTGAGAAAGAATAATTCTTATCTTTGATCTTTGAGGTACTTTGACAAGTTTTCACAATCGTCAAATATTAGAAATTAAAACAAAAAATAAATGAATAAAAAAAACTCCCAATCAAACGTTAAAATTTTGTACACATTTTGCAGCTGATTGCTGTTCAATAAATTTGAATGCAGTTACACATTTCTGTAAAACCAAAAAAAACTTGAAAGTGCAGCATGGACTTTTTTATGCCTTTAGTCAAAAGGTTTAATGTCAGAAAAATTTAACAATTAAGATTTTTTTTTCTATAAATTTTATGACATAAAAGTAGTTCCATAGTGGTCTTTGACATTTTCAATTTTGATGACTTAAATTTTGATACATTTTTGTTGTACGGATATCGTCTCCATTTGCACCGATACTTGTAATTATCTTTAACGGTTTAAACTCTTATTTCACAGATTGACAGCTAAAAAAGCAAACTTTAAGCAAGGTAATCAAACCAAAACCTATTTGACGTAAATTCCTATAATAATTTTAGCTTGTATTATGAAACGTTTATTTCCAAAATAAGAAAATTGCGTGTTTTAGATAATAATTTACAAAGTCCTTTCAGCAGCTTTTTTAAGATCAAAGAGAGCATAATGATTGTTTTTTATACAGAGATCAAAATAATTGCATTTAGAAATTGGCAAGCAATATTTATTAGTAAAGATCATTCCTTTTTTTGTGTCTAAATTTTAACAAGAACATTAAGTTTTGCTGTGACAGATTTTTTTCCTTCTTTTTTCTTTTTTATAAATAGGTAATTCCACAAAGTGGCATAATTATCTAAATGCAGCCTAATACCTTGAAAGTACCTTGGCTTTATTCATGTAATGACCTCCTTAACTGTGTTTATAATTACATATTTTTCTTCAATTTTGTAATATGAGAATATGATGACTTTAATTACGGAATGCCGTTAGGGCCATCGCCTATGAATGTGTTGATCTGAAACGCGATAGTCGATAGTACGATGGTGAAAACGCGAAATCACAAAACTACGATGGTGAAAACGCGAAATTACGATGATGAAAACGCGATAGTACGATGATGAAAACGCGACAGTACGATACTTCGATGATGAAAACGCGATAAACTATCGTGTTTTCACCATCGTTCTGTCGCGTTTTCACCATCGTAGTTTCGTGATTTCGCATTTTCATCATCGTACTGTCGTGTTTTCATCATCGTAATTTCGCGTTTTCACCATCGTACTATCGCGTTTTCATCATCGTACTGTCGTGTTTTCATCATCGTACTATCGCGTTTTCACCATCGTACTGTCATGTTTTCATTATCGTACTATCGCGTTTTCATCATCGTACTATCGCGTTTTCATCATCGTACTATCGCGTTTTCACCATCGTAGTTTCGTGATTTCGCGTTTTCACCATCGTACTATCGACTATCGCGTTTCAGATCAACACACTCATAGGCGATGGCCCTAATGGCATTCCGGAATGCCGTTAGGGCCATCGCCTATGAATGGTTTTATCTGAAACGCGATACTCGACAGTACGATGATGAAAACGCGAAATCACGAAACTACGATGGTGAAAACGCGACAGTACGATGGTGAAAACACGATAGTTTATCGCATTTTCATCATCGTAGTATCGTACTGGCGTGTTTTCATCATCGTACTATCGCGTTTTCATCATCGTAATTTCGCGTTTTCACCATTGTAGTTTCGTGGTTTCGCGTTTTCACCATCGTACTATCGACTATCGCGTTTCAGATCAACACATTCATAGGCGATGGCCCTAACGGCATTCCGTATTTAATAGGCAACACAGATAAAAAAAAAATAAAAGGACTATAACATGCTTACCTAGCAATTCAATGTATTCTTGAATATGTTCCAAAATCAATGAAAAGTTTAGTCAAGGACTGTAAATATTTTATTATTTCATTTTTTGAATTGTGACAATTGTGATGTTTTTAAAATGGCCAATTTCTCTAACAGATTCCAGGATGTACTCTTGTCCTTGTAAGTTTTTTTGTACAAAACCAGAAACAGATACATCAAGTATTTATCAGCTTCCTTACAATGCACTTTCCTGTTTATTTTGTAGATACACTGTCCCTGCTTGTGTGATATTTCAGCTTTACAGCACTTTTACAGGGACCATTTGACAGTGTGTAGGAGCAAGTATATGTCTTCTTTAAATTTTTATAGATATTGAAAACTGTTTGACACAGATTTATACTATTATTTACAGCTATGACATAATGTTGGAGTGTTGGAAAGAGCAGTCAGAGACCAGACCAAGTTTCAGTCAACTCTGCAATACCTTTACCAGAATGCTTGAGGAAGACTCTTACCTGGAATACTTCAATTTTAATGTTAGTACTACCAGCTTAGTATTATATTGTCAGTTACAATTTCAATGTAAATTTACAAGCTTAGCTTTAAAAAATTGTCAGTGTATTATCTGTTACAATTTTAATGTAAGTTCTACAAGCTTATCTTTTAATTATTGTCAGTATATTTTCTTAATACTTGATTTTACAAAGTCATATAGGAAATGCTTTAAAAAGCTTTTTCCCAGAATGGCAACTGTTTAGGTATGTGGTGTAAGGCATTGGTTAGTGAACCTTTATCAAGTTTGTTCATGACCTGGGGACAGAATCGCCCCTCAGGTACACTTGAATTTACAGGGAGTCATATAGGAAAAAACTTTAAAAACATTCTTCCAATAATTACAAAACCTAAAGCTTAGATATATTGATGTGTAGCATTGTATAGTGGACCACTAATATGCTTGTTCAAATCATTCACCTAAAGTTAAAACTGGCAGGCTTTTAATTTAACACATTCTCATATTAGAAAATCTTTAAAAACATTCTTCTCCTAAACCCCAGTGCCTGAAGCTTATATATTTGGTGTGTAGCATTGTTGGGTAGACCACTTGACAAGAGTTATTTAAATCGTGGTTATGGGGTCAAATTGGTCCTACCATGGGCAACACTTGATTATACATGTATATAGACTCATATAGGAAAAACCTTTTACTCATATATAGAAATACTTTCTGATAAATGTTTATCATGAAGCTTAGAAATTTTTTCAATTAACTTTGTAGACAACTTGATTTCATTTGACCTAGATTTTTGACCTAGTGAATTACTTTGTTAAAGCAGCTAAAATCTCAATATGACATGCCATTGGGTTATATCAGTGGACCACATTTTGACCCTTTGATATGACAAAAGAATAAACGTTTTTGTGTTTGATACACAGCTATAACATTTGAACAATGCGGTGACAATTTCAGGTGCAGAATTGAACTTAGATATAAGCTGACCTAGATTTTGACCTAGTGACATACTTTTAATTTGTATACAAGTCCTTCTATTCAACTACATGTAGTTAAAACATTATTCTTTGTCTTGTTTTATTGTATTTACCATTAAATTGTTTCCCTCTGGTAGGTACCACTGGCACATGACTACTATAGGATCAATAGTGACACAATGGATGATGACATCTTCGACCTAGATGACCAAGGCTATCCAATAAATCTAAACAGTATGCCTGAAACTTCACAAAACGTGGAAAAAATCCCTTCACAGATGTCGATTATAACCACAGAGATCCCTGACCATGACTGTATTATACAGGAGATGTCTAAAGCAGAAAGAAACGAGGATACAATTTCTTACACTGACAGCAATTTTCTTGTCAGCGTTGGAACATCCTCCTCCTTCAATAATGGCCTCTACCCTACAATAGAAAATAGTGAGAAAGACAAGTTAAACATAAGATTTGGTAGTAACCTTTATACAGATGACAACATATGTTCCAATGTCCCAAATAAACAACAGGAAGAAACTGATACTTTGCCAAACCAAAAAGATGATACTGTCAGCGATATAGATTATACTGTCAACAGTTATAACAAAGCTGCTGTAGAGAATAGAACGAGTGCATCTTCAGACAGAACGAGTGCATCTTCAGATGATGTGTTCACCAATTGTCAAGGTTGTACAAGGCTTGCAACCCTTACAGACTTTGAAGCCGGTCTGTATGAAGATTGTAGCAAATTTTCTGAAGTCCCCATTGACGGTGGTTTCTCACAGTGTCCAGATTGTGGCAGACTTGACCTACATCTCACTCCATTTGACATCCATGTCAGTGAGAGGAATGATTCTGCAATTTGTAGTACAGCTTCTGATGACTCTGATCAGTCACAGAGTAACCAATCAGATTCTTCCATAGCAATCAGCGAGGTCTACCTAATGCCTGATAGCCCATCAGCTGAGTCAACTGACACGAATACTTTCAACTTTGACGTATCTGAGAAAATTCTCAACCATGACCATTCAGATAATATTGACAAAGATGATAGAAGAAAACGGTGGCATTTTGAAAACCCGTGTTATACAGGGCTGTATGAACGAGGAACAGTTGACAACCTTTGGAATGATAGAAATTTGTTAAAGAATAGATATATTGATAACTTTCTTATGAAACAATCAAAATCTGACGGCGACATTTGGTGCATTGCTGAGACAAAACTTTGAATTATATTTTATGATGTTTTAACAAGTCAATAAAGATATACCAGCGAATTCATAGTCTTAAGTTTTCAATTTTGATTCGTTTTAAATGGAGTAACAAATGTCTACATGACCTATATATTAATAATGGCAATGTAATATCGCAATTCCCTCTAGGCTTTCAAGGGAACACGATGACGTATATACAGTCAATTATATAGAAGAGCACGTAGTTGCCTTAATTAATTTTGTTTATCTGTCCATTAACGTTCATTATTGTTACGCCTAGTTTCATAAATTGATCAATTATTTTGTTCGTTTTGGAAATTTAGAACCACTCCTTCAGCAATTAAAATTTCAAGTTCTTTTCTTACACCATGTCTATTGTGTTAAATTTCAGAAATACCAATTAAATTTTAAAGATTCCATTTTTGAATGATCCTAATATGATACTTTTAGAAAAGAGGGCTAATGTTAAGCATAATTTCCTATTATTGTTCATATGTTAATGGAATTTTAATGGGCGGTTTACATGATATGTACAAGATTATTTCATTTCAATAAACCGTTTTTTCTCAAACTTTTATAAGTTAATCTGCTTTTAAATAATCACAAATTGATACACCTATCTCTTTAAGATTTATGTATCGTGTAACAGAACCAACCTTATTTTCTTCCATAATAATATTTACTTTGAATGATTAATACTTAAGGGTATTAACTGCCCACTTTTAAAAGAACAAATTTTCTTTATAAATTTTGAATCGAATTTTTGTCTGATCGCTCTTAAATTGGTGTTTTACAATCGTGAGGTATCAATAGACATGTTTTCTTAAGATTGGAAATGATAGGCCAACATAGGCGGATTGTATTTTGACAATAAGCCTCCTATACGGTCCTGGTTCAATATTGTACTTTGGAAGGGTGTTACGCAGTTAACAGTCGAATATGACAGAATAATTTGTAAAGGAATTTTAACCTTTTGTATGTAAAGAGGAAAATATTTTGATAACTTGTAATTGCATTTCAACTGATATAGTTTAACATTATAGATGGGCTAGTTGACATTTGTTATTCTTTTTTTTTTCATTTACTTTATCTTTAAATGACCGATTCACGAGTGTAATAGTTTAAATAGCTTCGCTTACGTTTTAATTCTAATTGGCAAAATTGCTCTATTATGAATATTATATTTTAAGAAACTAAATTCTGAACAAAACATTTAAATCTGACTGTTTGGGTTTTTTGCACAGGCGTTTTCTTTTTGATAAGAGTTAATGATTTTATAATCGCCAAAGGTGTCGAAAGTTTAAAGAGAGATGTCTTAATAGTTTTTTGTCTTTGCATATCAAAGAAATGTGCTGAATTTGGTAAATTCTTGTGATTATACAGTAAAAGAAGGCATTAAAATCGATGTTTAATTTTTAATTATGATTTTTCTTCAAAATTTGAACAATACGGAAAATGTTTTTTGTTCCCACTTCATGGATATTGCAATAAAGAACTTATTTAGATGATGGTCAGGTTGTAAATACAAAGTATGTAAAAAGCAACAACATTGCCCTATCATTCCAACAGAGTGTTGCGCAGGTACAAATGCTAACTAAATTATCAAAAAGATACCCGAGCCTTCTTTCATATGTACTGTTAAGCTGAAAATGCTTTTTATTCATATAAATTATTTACTGGATTATTAAATATTGTGCCAAAAACAAATATTATATTATTGTAAAAAAGCTTCCATGTTTTATAAACAATGCTCAAGGGTGGTAAGTTAAGTAAGCATATTCCACATATCATTTTTACATCATCCACACATCCGTCATCCGGATCATCCATTTCATGAATAATTTTTGCTGGGCTTGTTTCCGCTTAACATTTGGCAGTTATTTGTTAATTGCAACGATTTCAATATCAAAATAGTATATTAGCATTTGCTTTTTTCTTCCATTATAAGAGTTAAATATAACACCTGAGTTAGAGGAGTGAGACAAAGGTTATCATAAAAATCGCATTGGTAGATGAAATGGAAGAGAATCAATTAAAATGTGAAAGTGTTTTATTCTGTGATTGCATGACATGTGGTAAACTCTGCAAGAGAGATGGGCGAGCCTATCACCAAATACAGCTGGTACCGATCATATTTCTCACTTGTGGACCTTTTCACCTGAACTTTTGAAGGTTCGTTGTCTTAATTAAAATCAGTTGTTAATTAATTGTTAAACGATCAAGGGGGTAAATGCAGGAAGAAAAGAAGAATGTCAGTCGCGTTGGTATGTGGGAATATTGTACATTCCTAACGTTTCAAGGTCTGCCAACACTCTATTATAAAACTTGACAAGTGTGACTAGATCGAAAGGCTGATTACAACACGTTCAACTCTCCATTGACTAAATACTACAAAACTTAAACTTACAGACGGACCCTATATACTAACGGCATGAAACATTGGGGTGGTGATTTTGGCACACATGTCAACATCAGATGGGTCAGAACTATGTAAAAATCCAGCAAAAAGGCAAATTTTTATGTCCAAGGGCTTGTAACATTGAACTTTTCGTCGTTTTGGATGAATAACCATGCATTGTTTTGTCTACGACAATGTTTGACACCTTAGCTTCACCTTTAAACATTTTAATGCACTAAGCAAGAGCTGTCTTTTTAGACGATTGTTCATGTCAAAGGGCATCGATTGTGTAGCTGTGCTTTGGCGTTTAAGTAGAACAACACGTGCTTCTTTCAGAGTTTGTAATGAAAAAGAAGTGGTATTACAAAAATGGTCTCATATGTTTGTTACATAGTTGTTAAAACTATCAAAGGTATTCACTTCAAACATAGAATAATAATTCACTATCAAATTTGGAATACTTTTCATTAGGGCAGATATTTTTTTTAAATTCATTTTGCTCAGTTGTATCCTTAAAGCAGGCTAGCATACTACAGAAAGCTTGAAAGACGCAATCGCCAAATCACCTTTCCGCTATGATGTGGCTTAAAACCCATACAAAAAGCATATCAATAAAGCATTCAATACGTTGTACATTTGACAAAAGCGTTAAGTTATGAAAGAATGTTGGAAATATGCATTAAAATCATAAAATTAAATGAATGGAAATTATATATTTTTATCTTGTTTAATTGCCCAGCTGTCGAAAACGCTCGTTCCTTTCTTTGTATTGTCATTCTGAATCAAGGGACTGCTATTTTGTTATTCCTTGAAGCAAACACTAAAATATATTTCAGAAATCATAGACCGATTATTGTTATTTCTGTTTGAACAGCGGATCAGAACAATCACCGCTGATAGCTAAGTGCAGTGAAACAGGCTATGGTAAATAAAGACAAGATCAGTATCTTTATAATCGTACGCTAGTGTCGTACTGGGAGTATTCATTAAGAGGGAAATTTAAATACTTTACCTGATCTTTATCAACTACCCTGTTACCTTTGCTTAATGGACTAATGTTGAATCATTGTTGTACCGTACCGCTAAGAATACAATCCGAATTCAGACTGGTTTTGTGCATAGTACAAAAGAGTCGTTACTAAACATTATTTTACAGTTTTTAATTAGAAAAGGCTTATCCTACGGGCGTCGTTTTTGCAATGTTCAACGCTTTTACTATATGAGTCACTTAAATTGGTTGTTGCTGTCTCGATCGTAACGTCTACTTTAAAAAAGCTTACCCTTTTTGTTTACATTATGCTACTTTGTTTTTGTGTTTAAAAAAGGTAAATAGAGCAATATATGTAGGTTTTTCCGATTTATAACTTATTCATGTCATTAGCTGTACATTTCTCTAAAGTAATCACCCAAAGGTTGTAAGATCAACGCATTTCACGGCCGTGTCAAAATGAGATCTTACAATATTGTTAGAAGCCTGATCAAACGGTAACGTGTACCAATAGTTTCTGTCAATCACAGTTCGTTCTAAATGGTTATAATTTTGTTTCAATTTACGCCGAACAAAAACGCCTATCTTTAGATAATCACCGGCATGTCCACGATATTTGATAATGTCCTTAATAACGAAACACCTGGCCAGTACCCGACGTTTGATCTTTATTTCAACAAGTTTTCCCGATATTCTGAAGTTGTGAATTATTTGACCAGCTTGTTTAATGTGAATATAACTTGAAAATAATTTACTTGTATGAAACATACTGACACGATATTTATGTGTCATTGTTTTGTGGTACAATGATCCGTCCACCGTCAAGAAAGCATTGCAAATCAGGTAATAAAAAAAATGTGCATGGTTGGGAAACGATAGAGACTGCAAGTTAAAATGAAACAATGCTTAGAGAAAGAATAGACAAAAATGGACAGTAATTACAATGTAAAGGTATGATGCACAGTGGACATTGAGGGTGTGTTCGTGCAAACAATTTTTTGGATGGCTGCTGGTTAAGGAACGCTGACGATTACTTCCTGTTGTTGTGTTTAATCCCCATGCAAGTTTTGCACGTATTTTAAACATCTCCAGTAGCGTAAAGGTTTGATTACTAGTGATATTGATACGACGAAACGGTCCGTGTTAGCGACATATTTATGTGAACCATGCAGAAATGAACAACCTTTGACAAAAATAATACCAACTCTTTTGTTGGAATGTTGTTATTGTGGTTAGGCATCGGCGTAGAAAATTTGACGTGAGGAACTCGAAAAGTCAATGGTGGATGCAATAAAGTTATTATCTGGACTTGCAATTTAGTCCATTTTAGAGCATATAGAAAACGAAAAGCCCTGTCAAGTAAAATGAACATTCTTCTGTTAAAATACAGCTGTAAATGAGCATGAAATAAACTCCTTTCAATTTCAATACAACTTTTAATAGACTCGAGTGATTTAAAGCGATCAGACATGCCCGTTTTAGGTTGACTTCATGATTGAATTATACTGAAACCGGGTGGTAAAAAAGTAGGTGAAAAAGTAAACATGTGTTTACAATGTAATAACCTGATATCTGTATATAAACCGTTTTGTCTTTCTTAAAAACTGGTTTGTTTGTATGACATTTGTAATCGTTTCTTATACCATGGATAGAATGTGGCCGCTGTTAATGGAATGGC